GGGTGTGCGGGGAAGGTGCGGTGGAGTTTGGAGATGTTGCTTTGGAAATGTCTGTCCTCGCTGAGTGTGTGCAGCTTGTCTGACAGGCTTGAGACAGGGGATAGAGGGACTCGCCTCTAGGAGTTGAGGTTATGGGCGTGTTTGTGATGTTTTACGGAATAGTGTCTCGGGAGGTACTTTAATGGGTAGAGGCGCTGGAGCGAGTCCAGCAAACGGCAGCGAGGCTCCTGAGGGGTCTAGAATGCAGGTCCTGTGAGGATGGGCTGAGGGAAATGGGATTTTTAGCCTTGAGAAGAGGCAGCTCAGGAGCGACCTCATTGCTCTCTGCAACTACCTGGCCGGGGCTGGAGAGAGGGGTGGGATGTCTCCCCTGCCATGGCTGCAGGGAGAGGACTAGAGGGAATGATCACAAGCTGAGACAGAGGAGATTCAGATTAGATGTTAGGAAAGCTTTTTTCCCTGTTAGGGTGGTCCGGGACTGGAATATTGCCCAGGGAGGTGGTGGAGTCACCATCCCTGGAAGTGTTTAAAAGGCATCTGGATCTGACACTGGAGGATGTGGTTTAGGGGTTACAGCAGAGTGGCAGGTTAATGGTTGGACTCAGTCTTAGAGGTCTCCTCCAACCTTGATGAATCTATGATTTAAATGGAACTATTTCACCAGGAATCTCTTAAAAGAGATGTCCTTTTTCTCTCCTGTTTTAGGATGGAACTCTTTATTTCCCAGGGTCAAGAGACAGGATTATTTTTGAGAAACCCAGGTGTGGGTTTCATAACTGCAGGTGTCTCATAGGAAGTTTTATTGTGTGGCTGTAGAATCCTAGTAAGTGGGAGTGACGGTGCCAGGTATGCAACAGTGTCCATGTACTGATTGATTACTAACTCTTGCCTCTTGTGCTTTTCTTTCTAGCAGCCATGGTGAATTTTGCCCAAGCTGTGCGTGAACACTGGGTTCACATCTTTGTTCCCTTAGGATTTGTGATTGGATGCTATTTGGACAGATGGAATGATGAAAAGCTGTCTGCCTTCAGAAACAAGAGTCTATTATATAGAAGGTCTGCTTTATGGTACCTCTTAAATATATATATGTGTAGTTATTTTGCAAAGTGCTTCTCTGTTCTTTTTGAGAGTCTTAACTATGACCAAAAAAAGCTCCAATCAAAATATTAAAGGAAAGAAAGTAATAAAAATTTCAGCAAGCATTCATGAAGTGTTTTAGGTCACTCTGAAAACTGTGTCTTCAGGAACCATTTTTGTCATGAAAAAAGGGCCATTAACTGCTGTCAAGTTCTTAGCCATGAAATGTGTAAATTATTATTTTGTCTCTCTCTAAAACT